TCATATAGAGTGGACCTATACAGCGGTGCACCTCTTTAAATGAATGCTGGTGTATAATTGTGCATGTGTACGAGTATGCCTGGGTGCTTTGTGCCTGTGTGCGTTAATGCATTTTTAATAGACGAAACACATGCTGAAGACGTAAAATTGCATTCAAATTGCTTTAATTAAGTGGATTTGCATTCGAAATTGACACAAAATTTCCCAGAAGACAACAACAAAAGCCGGTACAACGAGGGCAAGTGCAAATAGCACAACAACTATGCGTTACATTGCAGTATACCACATTGAGATCAAACCTATACACACACATATATGTGTATAGGGATTATGCTTTCAAAGTGTTCAAATGTGGTGTGAACTTTAATTGATAGTTATTTAATTATTTATTTTATAAAGGTAAGTGGATTTCGAGCATGTGTTTTGTAACTGATTATCTGCAGAAAATGCATTTGAAATTTAAAGAAGCTGATTCCCGCAGTTGCACTGCGAAGGTGAGGCTTGACAGCTGATTCAATCACTATTCAATAACCGTGTGGTTATAATATGGTAAAGCATAAATAGGGAAAGATGTTATAGAACAAGACGCTGGCAGAGGTTGGCACTTTGGTTACTCTAACTCTAAATTTTTGTTAGTATTTAGTTACATATGCTAATACATACATTTTAAAGTAATGTAAATGGATTGCAATTTTAAATTAGGTCTGCTTAATCCAATATAAAGATTATTATTTCCATATAGAATGTACAAGTACAAGTATATATGTACTTGGTTTTTATACTCGTATATCTTATAATGTTAAACAATATAGAGAACTTTCTTAGCTAAAAAAAATAAAAAATAAATAGTTATTATATGTGAAGAGCTGAATATCGGTGAAGTGTAGCTAATGATGTTCATAAACATGAACTAAAGCAAATCAAAGTGTGAATCGAGAACTGAAAGCTACAAGCTTGTGTGCTTGTATTTCTATTTCTATAACAAACAAAATCCACAAAAATTACAAAGGCTTTTAATCATTTACAATACAATCACTTTACCTTTTTTTTTAAATCAATTATTTTACGGATATAAGGATATCCGTGAATTATTTACTCTAAAAATTTGAAAATTGTATTTACAAAATAAATAGTTTTGATTGGCCCATTTGCATAGGAAAATGTTTGAATATTTGTAAATGAGTAAACGGAGCAACAAGATGACATATTTGTGCATGAATTTTGCGAGTTATGATAAAAGTATAAACGAAAATCAAAAAGGCATTGCTAACTGCATAGAACAGTCAGCTGACAAGGATGTGTACTACGAGCTTGTGTGTTTGTGATAAATTCTAGGCAAACAGTCAGGAGTCTCTGTGATTTACAAGTGTCATTCACAATCAGTCGGGAGTTGGAAAAAGGAAATATAGTATGTATGTAGTATACTATACAGACGAGCATGTACTCGTATGTCTGTTTGTGTGCTTATTTGTATTTGCCTCTTGGCTGATTTGACACTTTAAGCGGACATGCAAATAAATAAGTGAAGCCATTTAGATGCTCATGGGCTTGCCCTGATTGACTCGACAATGAGCTGTGTATGCATTCAATTAATTGAAATGTGTTGATAGTGGAGTGTGTGGACGTGCTTAAACGCCAGATTTTAAATACATTCGGTCTATTATTGTAGCAAGTTGTTGCATTTGTCGATTATTTGTGTTTGTTTTGGGTTGGAGTTGTGTTAATTGACATAATGAATGAATGTTATTTGTTTGACTTGGCGATGTTTGTTTGTTGGTCTGCCAGTTATTTTACACGCATTAGAATAGAAACTTTAATTACATACTACTATAATTGAATAGGTTTATTTAATAAATGAAGAGAAACTCTAAACAAGAAATTTAAACAATGTCTCTTTTCGCTAAAATTCAAAAAGTATGCAGCTTCATACTTTGTTTATCAACAACCTACTTGTAGATTAAATGGATTAAACGATCCCTAACTATAGTAAGAAGTTGGGGGCCCTTATATTTGAAGCAATGAATTGAATTGAGGCGTGAAGCCATAATATACTTTTATTCGGTTGACTCAACTAGAATTTCGCGTATCACAAGAGAATACGATTCACTGAGCCGCATAATTATAATGAAGCGCATTGTCTGTAAGCTCAACCTTAATTTTTGCCTTCTGATAGCATCCTTGTGTGTTTTTCTTGTGCCACCAACTAAAATGCACTTTCGCATTGTTGCACATGTGTGCTCAGTGCAGAAGCATTGCATTGTGCTCTTTTTCATGCAGGTGTGTTTGCAATTTGGACAGAACTGCAAGAACTCATAAAAAATGCGCCTTCTGCTAATTAAGTTGCTCATTACATGAAAAGCGAAGAGTGGAAACTGCATGTTGGAAGTGTAGAGGCAAAAGACCTTACCCATTGTGTTTCGAATAACTTTTGTGCTTGGAGCGAGAACATATGCTGCTGATGTTGCTGCTGATGCGGGCTGCACAGCAGTAGTGGTCACAAAAGTTGCCAAGTAGAGTGCAGCCAGCTCGAGAGTAGTGTCAGCAGTGACCACATTTTAATTGGGTTAAGCATACGCCATGTGTGACAACTTTTAACATAGTATGTTTAAGTCGCATTCAGAGATTTCTATGGAGCTTGCATGTACTTGTGTTTTGTATATAATTGGTGTGCATTAGCAAACGCACACATCAAGTTTTAAAACTCCTAATTGATGCATAAGTATTAATTTAGTCTCTTTGGTTGTCAGAATATATGTACAGGGGCACATTCATTATATTTTAATTATACCTTTTAGCCAATTATAATGTTAGTGTCTGTATTTTAATTTAATATTAAAGTTCAGAGAATATGTTATTCTTATATAATTTTGTATAATATTACTGAAAATCAAACAATAAATTGTCGAAATTGCTTTAGATTATTATTGTAACTACCATGCAATTGATTTGTAATTAGTTTTTGCTGACAACTTTATGCTTGTTTTACTGAGCATAAAAATGCTTCAATGTTTGTAGTAATTATCGCAAATTACAGCGAACATATTGCGCAAATAGCTAATGGTATTGGTTTTTGTCCAACTTGGCCTAGTTCCACTTATAGGGCTGACTCAAAAAGGAGAAATAGGCAACAATGTACGCGAACGGAAAAAAATATTACACAATTACGAAAATAATCATGAAAGTCCTATTCAATACTTGTATGTGCCGCATATTTGGTATGATTTCCCATCAAATAAATACAAGTTACATACACATCTTATTGGAGAGCTGAAAGACGCCATAATTTTACTTGCATGGGCAATTGTTAACGTTAAGGCGGCAGCGTTGAAAGAAGATAAATCAACGTAATTGCAACCATTTTGCAAGTTATACGCAAGCCCACAAAAGTATGCAACAATTTGTGGGTCGCCAATATCGAGTCTGAATGGATATTGAAAAGACCTGCGATACACAGCGTCTATATAGTATGTGTGCATACTTGTAGATGTGGAAAGCTGTGTATATAAGTATGAACGTTGCTATATGTGGCTTTTTAATGCAAGTGTGCCATTCAGCCTGCACAATTAGCCGTTTTACGAATTAAATGAAATGAATATTTATGGGAAAACATTATTGTCGCAAATATTGTAATTTTATTTGTTTTTCCGTTGCACGTAAATAAAGGCAAATTACATACTGCTATATTAATACTTAATGCGGGCACTGTTCACAATATATGTGTATGTTTGTAATTTGTCAGCTTCAAAGAATTCCAATAGGTGCTTGCCCGCATAATGATTTTCAAGAAATTAAACAGAAATGCTCTTACACTTGAATAAGCTAACCGTGGAGCCGAGAAACGTAATTGTAGTTTAGTTTGTTACTTTCTTAAAGTAAACATTCTAGAGTATTAAAAATATTATTATTTTTTTTTCATACAAACATAGTTTTTTGTTTTTTCCCCTTTCGCGGACGAGTTTTCGTTTACAACGTTTATATAGCTATGGTATAAATTTCATCTTTTGAATATACATTAACATTTGAGTATAATGACTTACCTGTTATTGGTTGTAAGGCAATAAGGTAGAATAATTTTGTAATTTGAAAAAGATTCTTGTAACTATTGGTTTAAAAAAAATTTGAAGCTTTTAAAGTGATTAATAAATGTAATATCATTTACTTATAAGCAAGCATCCTCCCTGATTTATCGGCACTATCGGAAAAGAAACCGAGCGACAATTTCGAACTCATCCAGGCATCTGGGTGGATGTAACACATGCGAAGACACCTTGGCTAACCTAACCTAACCTAAATATAAGCGCTAAATATTTGATTAAAATAGGCCTTTGTTTTATATAACGTTTATAATTATGTGTGTGGATGTGTGCTTCCTTATACGTAAGTATAATTTTCTATGTCCATCATTGTTTGCCTTTTATTGCATATACAAGTAAGAGCTGAACTCACAATGTGGACTCACAATGTGGACAAGACGCCCTGCAGCGTAGCACAATAGGGAAGAGGTGGTGTTAAAAAGAGGAGCGTAATAAAAAGTGAACTAAGTTAATTTTTATTGCAGTACAACCATAAACATACATATATATATAAATACATACTTATATACATAGAGACAAGTATACATAAAGTTGTAGGCGTATGGCTGCCCATTGCGACCGCGCTGATAAAGCTGCAGTTCGCTTGGGCAGTTCTGGTTAATTTGCATAAATTTCATATAAAATAAGCGCCAAACATTATAATCATTAGCTTGCGTCTGCCTCCTGGGTGCAGTCGAAGGCCTCCTGCGGCCCAGGCACGCCAAACAAGTGCCATTTGCCTCGCCTCAGCACCACCGAGCGGGTGAGCAACTGGCGGCTATTCTGATTGCAAAGGGGGTCCAAATGCTGACATATTTATGGATTTTCTATGTTAACGAGTAGCTGGCCTGGTAGTAAATTAATTTAGCTAATGATAAATGCAATACGACGCTGGTCCAAGTCCACCATCCAACTTTTTCCACCATACTAAATGCCTGTCCAATCCTGCTGAGTAACTCTCTGCTGCACAACTCCATGACTTAACTTTTGAGTCATCGAGAACTGAATAAGAATAAGCAAATAGTTGAAGACCATTGTTGTGAACTGCAAAATAAAATATGAGTACGTTTGTTTTTATACAAATGGAATTTATCCAAAAAATAATAAATAGCATGGAAATATTTGAAAATTTTAACATGCATAGGATTAAATGCAACTCTGTAGATTTAATTAAGCATATGTCTCTTTTTCGTATTCTCCTGGCCTTACCAATGTAATTGTCTTTTTGTTCAACGAAACTCCCAATCCGCTTGAGAACTCAATCTGGAACTCTAAGCGCCAGTGGAGCATCGCGGTAACCATTTGCTTTACCACCGGACTTCCCGGGAACCAAATGTCGAGCATTTCCAGTAATCGCAGACACTTGCGGCCATCACGTATCGTGCGATCACAGTAAACGGGTGCCACAAGCATTTTATAGAAGGGTGGCAGCATGCTCGTTGCCACATAGGCGATTAACAAAGAGTTCATGCCTCCATCCATATCGGCCCGACCGAAGATAATGTACAGTTCGCTGGTGGTGAGTGTAAAGTCATGGGCAATGGCGGTCCACAGACTCAGCTTATAAACCTTGTTGACTTCCGTTATGAGGTAGTGTAGCTCCTTAACCATTTCCATAGCACTACGCAGGCGCTGCTCACGCAACTGCACTTTGACAAAGCGCCAGCGAAAAAATTGTGGATTAATGATCTTCTGCAGAAGGCGAAAACGTATGCCCAACATCTCAGCTATATTCATGTGAATGTACCCGGTAAAGTGTGGCCCTCCGGTAATGATTATGTAACAAATGCCTCCACACGCAACGAGGGCCTTATTGCCGTCACCTGCGATACGCCCCACCACTGAATTGACAGCACTAACGTACAATACTGTGACTGTAGCCAGTACCATTATGTTTTTACGCTTCAGCTTCCGATAGTTCAAATTGGCTCCAAACTCTTGCATGAGTTGATCGTCCAGCGCTGCCAGGCGATTGTAAATCCGTAGATGTTGGTGCGCTGTGCTCTGCATTGAGGCAACTGTGACAACATACACAAATATTGACATTACTAGCTCCAGAAAAACAATACTCAGCACCAGCTTGTCTGTTTTGTAGAGGAATGCGCGCAAGTCATTGTCCCGTAGCAAGCCATAGATGGAACCACACATCCCTGTGAGCACGGCGCAGGAAAGGCCGAGCGAATAAAGTCGGGTCCACTTATTGACGACGAAGTATTTGCCTTGTTGAAAGAAACCATTACAGCACATGCCAAACTGAAGCCCACAGACGAAGTTGACACACTCCCACAAGGTTTCCGGTTCACGGAAGAAATAAAGGAGCGCCATGTTGCTAGTATCGCTGCCTTTGCCGCACTGCTACAGCTCGGATGTGCTGCCATTGATTTTTGTTAACCGCAATTATGGATAGTGCTATTAAGATAATTAAATCGGTGCTGGTGTTGCCCGTCTGTGCTTACTTTTTAGTTACAATTAATACATTTAAATGACCTTATATTTTATCTATCTGGTTGCGATGTCAGCAAATGGAAATAAATAATTTTATATAAATACGTGTTTGTACTTGAATTTCTTGACTCGTGTAACACCGTTTTTTAAAAAATTAATCAACAATACACATGTATAGTGTTATTATATTATTCTTCATAATTATATTAAGACTAAACTTCTCTCTCACAATTACAAGTAGCTTCCACATAATACTTGTATGAATATGCAGCAGTCATCTAAAAGCAGTGACTAGTGATATTTCCACATACCACATATTTAATTTTTAGCCTAGCAATTCTGGGAATGAAACTGTAATTAGCAAATTCTAAGGAAAATTTTATCTATGTTGGAAAGTAAAAACAGTTTTTTTTTTTTGTTTCTTATTACGTTCGTCAACATAACAAAAACATACATTCAATGGTGCTGTACTTGAAAGAAGCTGAAAAAATTGAGGACTCTAGCATCAAAGTACAACAGTAGCAATGATGTTGGCATCATTTTCGTTGCCATCATATCAATTTCATTTGCTTGGTTAATGATGAAATTAAGCCTGTGGAAAACAGCATTGCATAATTTACGGATGCCCGATGATGGAAAAATTGACATGGAAACGTCAGCATGGCGGCGTCATTACGAGGACAAAAACAGTGGGCGTAATGGCAACAGAACGGAAACAACAAAACTTGCCTTCCACTACAACATTTTGTCATTTTTAATTAATTAAACTTGATTAACGCTCCTTTTGGAAAAGTCCAATGTGCGCGTGTGGCAATCAATCATGTCCAATAGATTTGCAGAATGTCAATAGGATAAGTCCTCTCCATTATTTCGCATTAAATATTTATGAGGTGAAGAAAACCCGTTTTAGCCAATACAGGCATCCTAGAGAAACCGATCAATTGAAAAATTGTAGTTTCATAAAAATCACAAAGTAATTATTTTTAAATAAAATGCGCTCATATATACATACTTGTATGTATATTTTAAGAAGAATTTATGTTATTCGTTTATATTTATTATGTAGGTATGTACCATGGAAACATTTCACGAACTGCAAATAAATGGACTATTTCGAATGCGCAAAAAAATGGAAATTTAACAATTTGTATGCCTGACAGTTGGCCAACTGAGTGACTTTCTGTCTGCTTCCCTGACATGTTTATGTCCAAAAAGTACTTCTCGACTTTATTCAATTAGCGCTAATTTAAAGTGCCAACATGTCTGCCACGGCAAATCAAAATGTAGCGACCGAAAAGAATACAACCCCAATTTTCCACATGACCCCCATCAAGTTGCTTTGTTTGTCACATCCAACAGAGTGTTGAATTGGAAGTGCGGTTGGGTTGGGGTTGATGTTGCTTTTGAAGTTGATATAAATAAAAGTTTTCCCTACTTTGTACCTAATGCCCCGCATCGCTGACCGAAAGCAACAAAATAAAGTGACTCGTTGAAGCCGGATGGGTATGTGTGTGTGTACAAGATGACAAGAAAAGCAGAAATTGATTGGTGTCCGTATTTGTGCCTTTATGACAAACCATTAATTGGCAAATTTTCTAACATTTTTCGAAGACGAAAACAGAAATCACTTTAAATAGAATTGATGAGAGGATGTACGGCATGTGCTAAAAAAGAAAGTTTATCATCAATTGATTGAGTTTAAAATGTGAAGGCAAAGAATTCCAATGCACAGACAATATGTATACGCCCCGTAGGTACATCAAGCGAGCAGAAGTAAAAGCAAGCGGCAACGGCACATTTGACGTTTTTATTGCGCATATAATCATCATCATCATCATCATCATCATGATCAGAGCATACATTAGAGTCATAAGCATACCCACAAGCGCCTACTCATACGTGTATGTGTGCATATACAAATGTTGGTATGTTCGTGTGCACACTGACAAATGTTCAAGTTGCTTGCGAACACGAAAACACATTTGTCTACATGAGAGCGGCTCTAAGCAGGCACATCAAGAGTATCTGTATGTGTATATCTGTATGTGCATATGTACTATTCATGCCCAAAATGCAAGTGTTGTTCTTTTTTTTATACATTTGTACGTTTGTTTGTATGCACGATACATAAGTGTACATGCTTATATTTTAAAGGGAGCGCTTGGCCAAGTTAATAGGTTCACAAGTTTCTCATTTGCTGAGCACTTGCTGCCTGGCTGGTTGCAAATTAATGCCGCACACAATTAAATTAAATAACACCATAATTAATTACTACATACGAACCTACTGCTGAACAACCAAACAGCCGAAAGTGCTACATGGAACTTGTTCAACCAGAGCTACCAACGGATCCATACAGATAGCAAAATAAATATCAAGATGTCTGTAATACTTATAAACAAACAAATACCAAACAGTGAAAGATTGCGGCCAGCTTTCTTTCTAACAATAAACATGACTGTTAAGATCATTCAATATCGAAAATGTTTGTGGATTGATTTGAACTTTTCTTTAACCATTTATAACTCAAGTAAAGTTTTTATTTACGCCAGAGGATTAAACAAATTTAAGTTCGTTCAAAAGTGTAGATTCGGAATGGAATTTCTTTTAAGTGCAATTTATACATTTATTGTGTTGATTTATTGGGCATCATCAGTTTAGATTATGCGTGATTGTATATTTTAGTATCTTAGAGCATAATTTGTAGAATTTTATTCTTTCAGTGTACGGACATATGTACACATTTACTTACAACTTTCCTGCCATCGCTTTGGTGGTTTGATTTGTTAGCAGCCTGACTGTGAGGTGTTAATGTTTGTCGGAGCCTTCGCAGTCGCCTGCGATTCCTTATTAAAGTATGCATGTGCTCAGCTGTGTGTGGTTATGTGTGTGTGTGTGTGTGTGCGTGTTGTTCGTGTGTTTACTGATGCTTGAAATAAAGAATGATTTATGATGAAGCCGCACACGCATGTTCGTTCTCACAATTAAAGTTTTGTGCAAGCTGAGTGGCCATCAGTGGTTGCCTAGGGTTGTGAGGGGAGGGGGTGGGGGGTCATGTAATATTTGCTTGTGGTTTTCTACAACTATGCCCATTTTTACACAAAACGCCAAACAATGCGATTAAGGTTAAAGCATTTGAACTTGCTATTGCTACTTAGAATTCGCAATTGAGTGGGATCAAAGGGCAGACGAAGTAATGAAAAGCCTTTGAGCATAAACTATGTATTTCCTAAATTTAATAGAAGTAAGTATAATTTTATTTTATTCTAAAAGCTGTACAACAAACTGAGGTTAAGAGCACTGCTTACGAGTTTATTATCCTCTATTCTACGAAATCTAACAACACTCGGACATGTTGACATTATTTGGAAATAAAGTTAACTCAAAGCACAAAGACATTTATTTATATCAGCCTTTACCACGTGCCGCAAGCAAATCCGAATTTAAAACCTTCCAAGTAAAATATAATCCTGAATTATTTTTAAATTAAACTCATTAGCGATGGAGATACTCAAGTGGGAGGGAAGTGCCTCTTAGGCTGCAAACTATTATTGCAATAATTAATGAGCTCTCGAGAAACTAAGAGCATGATAAATAATTAAAACTTTAATAGATGACCCAGTCCTTTTGAGTGGCATACTTGTATATACTATATAAGCTATGGCTCTGCTTAACATCTGCGTGGAGTGTTTTGCAAATCTCACATATTTATGCATTTAAATGTTGCGACATGTTTCTGTACATTTATGCAGAGCCATAGCTCATAAATTAAAACATAATGACGTGCAGGATACACACACACACACACATGCAAATCAATAAGCCATTAATCGTAATGCAACTTATAACAATTTTGCAATCAATGTGCAAATGGCCGCAATGATTGGAAGTATACGAGGCGTCATTTCCCAGAGGCCAAATGTGCCAATCAATGTGTTTGATTGCCGTCGAAAGTGCTGAGGGTATAAAGAAAAGTTATCAGTCATAATACACGTAATACGAGAAATGGATGCATAAAACTCTTAGTGCTAACCAGTTGCTGGAGTGTCCCAACAGTGACTGGCTACTATATTGGCCTTTACGCGCCTGCACTGCACTTGCCACGCTTTTTATGTTTTAACCAAAGCCAGTTGAGGTGCTTTTTATCAGTCTTGTTTGCCTCGCAAGCCAGCTGCTGTTTTATCTTGCGTGCTGAAATGTTCCGCGCACTTTGTCGACAACAAGGAGCATGTTGCATGTTAATTCGCTGACTGCAGCATAAAAGGCGACCAACCGTGCGCCATAATGCCGAAAAATATGTTATCGTCTAGAGGTGGGAACGTGACCTCAGTTTTCTCTATTATCAGAGTCACGTTGTGCATATCACACTAATAACCTAACCGGTGTTTACTTCAAAAGAAAATAGTAGAATTAAGTGGATTTTTGTGATTTCTTTGAGGGCAATTATTGTGCTTTCTGTGTGGTACTATGATTTAAATCATAAGTAAATCCATTTCTATTTAGTTGAATCAAGCAAATGTTTCCAAATTTGTATTCTGAAATTTTATTCAATTTCTGAAGTTAGAAAATTTTGTCACCATGCAAAATATCGAAATAAGTTGAAATAGTCCAAATTTGGCTAAAAGCTAATTCGATGGCATCCGAAGACTACAATAAATAAATTCAATTAATTTATATAATATATAGTACTATACACTACTGCCAAGCCAATTGCTGTTATACTCTTGTATTAAGCGAGTTCTTTAAAATACAGTTGATGTGCGATTTAGTTGGATCCTTGTTGAGCACATTTCGTAATCAGGGTTTACATTTTCTATATATTTAAAGTAGCTGAATTGCCTCCCCCCCTTTTGTTTCTCTCAACATCAGTTGACTGTATA